ACCTTTTCAACCTGTATGCAGAACAGATTATCCGGGAGGCTGGGCTCTATGAGGAGAAATGTGGGGTCAAGATTGGTGGAAGATCTATCAACAATCTGACCTATGCAGATGACACAACCGTGCTTGCTGAAACTGAGGAGGACCTGAAGCACTTGCTGCTGAGGGTCAAGGATTGCAGCCTCCAGTATGGACTGAAGCTCAATTTCAAGAAGACAAAGATTCTCTCCACTGGGCCAACTGGCAGCATCAGGATGGATGGTGAAGAGATTGAGATTGTTCATAGCTTCAGTTTGCTTGCCTCCACAGTCAACACTCTTGGCACCAGTAGCCAGGAAATTAAAAGGCTCATTGCCATGGGAAAGTCTGCAGTTAGGGACCTCTCCAAAGTGCTGAAGAGTAATGGTGTCTCTTTGGAGACCAAGGTGTGTCTGAAAGGCCATGGTCTTTGCTATCACTTGTTATGCAGTTGGACAATGACTAAGGAGGATAGAAGGAGAATTGATGCCTTTGAGCTTTGGTGTTGGAGAAGAGTATTGAGGGTATCATGGACTGCTTGGAAAACAAACAGATTCATCCTGGTAAGGGACAATCTGGGCTGCTCCTTGGAGGCAAGGATTCTGAGGCTTCTCGGAGAGGGACATCATGCTTGGTAGGGGGGAGGGATAACGCAGAAGGAGAAGGCCCCCTATGAGGTGGATTGATGCAGTGATCGTGGTAGTCGGGATGGATGTGTCAGAGACAGTGCGATTGGCACAGGACAGAGCAGAGTTTATTTAGGACTGTTGCACATAGGGTCACTATGAGTCGCAAGTGACTTGACGGCACATAACAACAACAACATAATTATTTACTGATTCATTATAATGTTACCAGGAACTTTGGCGGTGCAGCTCACACTGAGCTAGCTGCACTGCTTACCTGAAGGCTGTCAACATCTCTAGGGGCAAAAGATGAGCAGTTTCCTCCTATTGTGATTTACAACCTCAGAACCCAGTGGAGCGGCAGCCATGAGTCAGAATCTTCTTTACAACAGTGAGTGAGTGAATCTGAGTTTTGGAGGAATAGCTGCTAAAATGCTATTGTTGTTCACCATAGTGTCTGAACCAACCCATGGCTGACCCCTCCAGTGGGTTTTCAGAGGCAGTTAATCTCATTGGAGGAGATTACCCAGCCTTTTCCAGCAGTGCAGCTGTAGACCTCGAACCACATGCTTTTGGGATTGCAGCACAGTTACTTGCCACTAGGTCACCAGAACCCCCTAATATGCTAAAGCTCTTGCAAAAATAATCTGGCAGTATTTCTGCCAAACAGCCTGACATATATCCCAAGGTTTTATAAAAGATGATTGAATCAACTGAACTACTCTGATCCAGAAATCTTAGTAATTTTGGAGAGGGTTGGGAGTCATCAGCCTAGCAATGATAATTTGTAGGGTAAACCCTTCATGGCAATTATATTTTGAGTCTGCAAGAAAGAACAAGAAGTTCTACATTAAAAAGAAGTGAAGAAGTTTGTTGAGAGATACCAGGGGGGTGAATCAGCTATGACCCAACATGACTGCTAACACTACTGTTAGGAATAATTAGAAAGTATGGATTTCCTATGAGTCCATTGACAACTGAGTTTCAGGAAGTTTTTTTCTCGTAAAATATATGATGGCTGAAGGGAACAGCTTCATAGGTGTTAGAGAGCACTGAAGATAGCAGAACTATAGGGTAGATATAAAAACCATGCCAGAGTTATGGATATTCATAAATATCTCATGAGACACCCCCACAAGGGAGATACTTGCCACCCGAAGGGGATTCAAAGTTAGCCTATATCAATAGTGATGTTACAGTCACACCAAGGAGCTCTGGTGGTGGAGTCCAGAGAGAATGACGTTGCTAATTCAAACATAGCACCTCCAAAAGGTGTTAAAACCTATCAGTGGTTCCAAGGGAGAAAGACAGTCAATCTCTTCCCATGCAATTTACAATCTTAGAAAGCCTGCTAGAGAGTCACCTAAAAGTTGGTTCTGAGTTGACAACAGTGAATGGTAGTTAAGAGCAGTAGTTGTCAGTAGTATTTGTGTATTGCCAAGTCATAACCTACTTATAACTCACCCTCCAGAAGGTTTCAGAGGCAAAAAATTGAATAGGAAGAGATTACCCATCTTTCTCCCAGGTAGCAGCTGGGGAATTTGACTATATGCCTTCGGCATATGGCACATTTCCTTACCAGAAAACCACAAGACCATGGACTGACACAAAATAAATAGGTCTGTCCTGAAGAGAGTCAAACCAGGTTTGTCCTTGACGGCAAAGATTTTGAAACTGTCTCACATAATTTAGTCATGTTACCAGGAGGGACCAGTCCTTGGAGAAGAATATCATACTTGGAAAGATGAAGGGTCCACTCAGGAGAGGAAGACCCTGGATGAGATAGATTGATGCAGTGACTGCAGCAATGGGGACAGGTTTGTCTGAGACAGTAAGATTTATCTATATGGCCACTATGAGTTGTAGTCGATTTGCTAGCACATACAACAACAATGGGACACCAGAGCACCCTATAGAAGTAAGAGATAGACTAACTTTTCCATCTCTCTTAATTCTTTTTCTCATCTCAGCATGCCAGAGGAATAACGATCTAGAGGAGAGAGGGCAAAGAAACATCATAAGAAGTGACCTCACCTCTCAGCCTTGTGGTTCCTTGAGCCACAGCAAAAACTAGTTTCTCTCAAGTCACTTCTGACACAGAGGAATTCAAATGTACAGAGTGGAACTGGTCCTTTATCGTTTCAAGATCATGATCTTTCAAAGGCAGATTGCCAGACTATTCTTCTAAGGGACCTTAAGATAGGTTGAAACCTTTGACCTTTCAGTTGGAAGTTGAGTGCTTAACTTTTCACACCAGCTAGGGAACCAAAATAGAGGAGAGGCAAATAGTATATATTGATTAAACATGAGATGAAGTTTGAAACTTGCTTGGATGTTGTTGCTCTTGTTGTTGTTATGTGCCGTCGAGTCGTTTGCAACTCATAGCAACCCTATGTACAACAGCCCTAAACCGTGCTCTATGCTGTGCCAATCACATTGCCTCTGAAACACCCATCCCAATTATCCCAGTCACTGAATCAATCCACCTCATGGAGGGTCTTCCCCTCCTGCGCCGTCCTTCCACCCTCCCAAGCATGATGTCCCTCTCGAAGGACCTGTCTCTCCTTACAACTTGTCCAAAGTATGTCAGACAAAGCCCCAGGACTCATTAAACTCAAAGTGATTCGAAAATTATGGAATGATGCTTAGAGCATGAGAATCCAGTGGTGTATGTTGGAAGACAGTTATTAGAAAAAGAGAAACTATTTCATGATTGTATCCTAACAATTTTCAATGGTTCAATAAACTTCATGCTATTTGGGTATCAGTTTTATAGTATTTATATTGTCTGTCACAACACAGTGAAAGTGGATAATGCATGATTGGCTTTCATAAAGAATTCAGAAGGCGTATTCTTCTTTGCAGCATGATTAGAATGATAAATGGTTAGCTGACTCTTTGATTCTAATAACCTGACTCAAAATAGTTTACTGTGGTTCTAAAGTAAGCTGCTAATTGTCCTATTTGCAAGAGTGGCTTTATTTGTTACAATATTTTTTAGAGACTTCTCAAAGACAGCAATGAATTCTTTTTGATTTCTTATTATATGAAGATAAGAAGCTTTGACAAATTGACATTTTAGATTTTTGGCAGCTCCAAGGAGTTGGCTTTTATTTTTTAAGAAGAGACCCATTATACCCAAGCATGCACCAGAAAACTATAAAATGAAGAGAAGCTTGCCATGGGATGGAATTTTATGAACAATCTCAGAAATAGTTTAAAGAGACACGGGCTCAGCAGTTGTTTTGGAAGAAAATTCGGCAGTAAAGAAGCTTGAAGAAAGAGTTAATCTTGCTTGAATCCCTGCGCATGCAAAAGAACACGGTATAAAAACCTAACCGACGAGAGTCTTCATCAGTCGTCTGCAGAGATGGAAGTCCCAACCAAACAGAGTAGGATTCACTTTCTTTGACTCCAGGCTCAACCTAATCACCAGAAAATAGTGTGTCATTAGTATTGTTGTTATTATACTACTATTCTTTTTACTATTAATATTAGAGAACAATATTATCAGTATCTATTGACCTTTATTCTTTGTTAATTAATATATGCAGAAGAAAAAGTCTATCAAGAGAGAAATGAATAAACAAAATATTGTATATCCATTTAATATGTGAAAATATCCATACACTGGAGGAAGTTCAACCAGGGTGTATTCCTTGAAGTTTGTGAAACTGCCTCTCACATACTTTGGGCATATTGTCAGGAAGAATGCCTTTGGAAAAAGACATTGTTCTGGGAAAGGTTAAAGTTCAGTGAAAGAGAGGAAAACTCTGAGTGAGATGGACTGACAATGGCTGTATCAATAGGCTTAAGCATGGAGGGAATTGTGCTGATTGCATGGAATAAAACAAGTTTTAAATCTGTTTTTCATAGGGTCTCTATGAATCATAGTTCATCAGATGGTGCTTAACAATAGCAACAACAAACACACGCAAAGGACTACTACTATTTGATCATTAAAGAGAAAGTTCTAATAATATATGCTGTGAGATGGAAACATCTTGAAAACATGGTAAATCAACTAAGGCAGAGACAAAAGGGCAAATCTTGCATAGTTCTACTTCTATGAAATATCGTCTAGACTAGAAAAACAGAGAGACAAAGAATAGATTAGTCATTACCGTGATTGGGAGTGTGAATGAAGAAATGAGGCAGTCTCTGTTTGGGTTAATTAAAATTTTGGACAAAAATAGTGGTGGTGGCTATATAACATTGTGACTATATAATCTTGTACTGAATTTTATTCTTGGAAATGTTTCAAATAGCAAGTTTTGTATTATATAAATTTTATTATGATTTTGAAATACAACCAAAATTATTTAGAGAAAACATATGATTGCAAACCTTTTTGGACAGAGGAACTGATGATTAGGATAATACTAACATACCGGAATAATGTAAAAATCTATTGTTGCCATTATATTGCTGAGTAAGAACCAACTCATAGCTAACCCTCCAGTAGATTTTTCAGAGGCTGAAAATCACAGAGGAAGGAGATTTACCATCTTTATCCTAGGGAGAAGCTGATGGATTCAAACACTGATCTTTGGGATGGCAGCACAGTTTTTTACCCACTAAGCCATGAAAGTTCCCTACAAATTTATTATTAATCTGAAAACTCGAAGTAGAAAACACACAGTAACATTTTTACATATTATAAGTTATCAGAAGTGAAAATATTTGTGTAAGAATTGATGGAGTACAGAAACTTGACTGTACTCACAGTAAAAGGAAGTGCTAGTCTTAATTCTCTCAAATGAAGAATTACTATATTTCTTGATTTTTGTTCCTGATGTATATATTGTTTTATTTCAGTTCATCTGTCTACTGTAATTACAATTATCTTTTTCTTGTTTTGAACTGAGTTTTAGGCTCCAAATGATACATGTGTCAAAAACCTTAGAAATAAATGAGAAATATGCTCCATATTTTAAAAAGATGCAGATGATCTAGTAATGATAGTGACTGAGAATATCTACTTAAGTAGTTGGGGAAGGAGAGGTGTCCACATTCTACTCAGGACAGATACGTTCTAATTTTTTCTTGAGAAAATTCTGCTATCTTTTGAGGATTGTATACTAGATGGTTATTGGAAAGACAATAATGAGAAAATGTAGTAATAACAGCAACTACTCAATGATGAGGGTCAAGTAGTATGCTTGGACCAGTACTATAACAAAGAAAAAATTCTGAATAATATGAGAGAATGGGCACTAGGGTAACTCCGTGTCCTATTTTCAGGCTAAGAGTACAAGAGATCTAAGAGCCTAAGTAATTGGTTTGATAGCCTTAGGGATGAACATGAATTTGAGACGATGTTATGTATAATCCTTGGATGCTTGTCAACTATGATATGCTGAACTTTGTCTTATACAGTAAAGATATTTTAAAAATTTGAGATGTCCTAGTAGAATTCAATAGCTATCTGTATTTATATCCACTTATGGATATTTGGTGGCCTAGTGGCTAGGCCATGGTTTTTTCAGTCACTTGCTGTTCGTTGGAGAGCTAGAAAATGAATAAGGAGGACAAAAAAATTGATGCCTTTGAGCTGTGGTGTTGGAAAAGAGTACTGAATAATCCATTAACTGCCAAAAGAACAAACAGATATATCTTGGAGAGGATTCAGTCAGAGTGTTCCTTGGAGGTACATGTGCTAAAGCTCTTCTTCACAAACTTTGGGCTTGTTGATAGGAGATGCTATTCCTTAGAGTGGGACATCATGCTTGGAAAGGAGGGACAGCAAAAGAGAGAAAACCTTCAATCAGATGGATTGACAAAGTAATTGCAACAACGAGCTCAAGTATGTCAGAGATTGTGAGGATGGCCCAGGATAGGACAGGACTCAGATCTGTTGTTCATAGCATTGCTGTGGATCAAACTCCATGGTCACATAACACCAATGACAAAAGTGTTAAGAAGCTGCACTTCAATCACAGAGGCATGCAATTCAAACCCACTATCTGCTCTACAAAAGGAGGATTGGCAATTTCCTCCTGAGCAGTTTATTGCCTCTGAAAACCCACTGCAAGGTCAGTTCCAAACTGACAGCATACAACAACAACAACAACAAAACAGATATTTTTAAGCATGCTCTCAGAAGGGATCAGACCCTGGAGAGGGATATCAGGCTTGAAAATGTATAGAGTCATTGACAAAGAGGAAGACTGTACACAAGATGAATTGACACAGTGACTACTTAATGGGGTAGAGGACAAATGCAATTGTGAAGATGGTGTAGGACCTTGTACTGTTGCAATATTTAGTTTACATAGGGTCATTATGCATTGGCACCAACTTAATGGCACCTAACAACAATAAAGTATATATTATAGCTACCAAATATCTCTCGATATATAGACAGATCTATATATAGATATAAATATCTCTATATATCTATATTTCACTTACTGTCATTGGTCATTAACTTGGGACCAACTCATAGCTCATTCTTAATTGGGTTTCCAAGGCTGTAAATCACACAGGAGACATTAGACAGCAGCATAACTCCCTATAGACTAGACAAATAGAACTCCTAATTTTATGTTTCTATAAGTTGGAATGAACTCATTGCTGACCTTCCAATGGGTTTTCAGAAGCTGTAAATCACAAGAGAAGAAATTGTCTATATTTATCCCATGGAGCAATTTGAATGATGTGCCTTTTGGATTGACAGTGCAACTTCTTAACACTAGACCATCAGAGCTCCTATACAAACATACTCATACACATATATGCTAAGGAAGATACACTATCCAAACATTTTTTATATTTGTTACCTTACTTTATGCTTTTTATGTGTTGTGTAAGAACATTAGGACAAACATTTATTGCACGTGGAACAGTAATATATATAGGAATAAATAAGCGGTGGGAAAAATAGAAGAAAATGAAACATTATAGAGTAAATTAAATATTGACCTCAGAAAATAGGCCCATTATAATGAAGAAAATAACTTTAAAATGTGTTTATTGCATTTATTCTAAGGTTAAAATATGCTTTGTGTTTGTGTTGGATATATTCCTCTTCCATGAAAATGACAAAAAATGACACATGATAGCATGTACTTAGTACACAATAAGAAATACAAAATTGCTCCTGTTATTATTTCTGTAATCATATATTTTTCTTTAGATGATGCACTATTTGTGAACTTCAGAAAGCTGTTCCCTCACTAATGTTGGAATTATCCCAACTGAATAGAGTCATATGTTGCAGATATGAACTCAACCTAAGTATGATAGTTTATATAGGGATATAAATGTAATAATATGCTTTATTTTGGAATCACAAGGAAAAAATGAGAATGAGACAACTTCCTATAAATTACATGATAAAAAGCACTCCAAGATTGATACACCTGCATATTTGGTTAACCCTGAAATCTGGTGCTCATCAGTTTCAGCCAGTGTAATTTTGATGCTCTCTCATCTTCATCTTTTGGTGATGAGGGAAAAAGAAGATTCTTCCCAGGATTTCAATAGTGAGTGACTTAGCATACTTTGAAGAAATATTTTTTTAAAATTTTCACTCCAATTCTTTCCTTGAAAATATTTTAACCACTTAACCTCAAGAAGAGATAATCTTTTAACGAGTTATGGGCCATAGAAGGAAGGTTGCACCTACTACATGTCACAGCAGAATTCCAAGATTCATTTTCTATAAAATCAATATAAACCCTGACTTGTAACAGGGTTGCATTCAAACTTTCAGTCATCAGTTTTTTTCTGGCATAAGTTGTGTGTGTGTGTGTATATATATATATATATA